TTTTTTTTTTTTTTTTTTTTTTTTTTTTTTTTTTTTTTTTTTTTTTTTTATACGTTCGAAATTTCATGAAACCACCTCGTGGTTCTTTTTATTCTATTTTTATTACATGGTTTGCTATCCGCGGTAGCAGCTTTCTTTCTTGCACTCCCCTCCCTTTCATGCGAAGCAGTAAATTTCCGGCTTGAAAACGGAATTCCCACAGAAGCGTTCATGCAGGCGCCGGAGTTAATCGGTCAAATAAGACACACACACACACACACACACCACACACACACACACACACACCACACACACACACACACACACCACACACACACACACACACACACACACACACACACAATCACACACCTTTTTCGTTATGGATGGCTTGTGATCATTTGTGAAGGGAATGAGAGAGAGAATCTGGGTTCTTAGAGCATGGGCTGTTTGGATGTTTACGGGTGGCCACGAGTTCTCTTTGGGGGGAATGTATGTTTTGTGGGCCGGTGTGGTAAGGCTTTCCTAGTTTTTTTGGTCCCGTAGCAGGGGGGGGGGTAAGGTGCGTTCTTGCTGGAGGGGTCTTCTGTCTTAGGTGGTGAGTTGTCTCCTATCTTCTTCCCCCTCTTTGGCAGTGACGCGAGTGTGTAGTTTGAGATGAACGTCCAATGCTGTTATATTTGATTTTTTTTTTTTTTTTTTTTTTTTTTTTTGATTGTTTTTGGTAAATGAGTTTTTGGTTTTGTGGGCCCATGCGGAAGGCTCTCCAAGTTTTTTTGGGACCTTTGACGGGGTCGGGTCGGTGCCATCTTGCTGGAGTAGTCTTCTGTCTTAGGTAAGTTGCCTTCTGCCCTCCATCCCCTTATTATGGCTTTTCTTCTGTTTTTTTTTGCCTTTGCGCTCTGATATTCATGTGATGATATATATGTATACATATGTATATGTGCAAGTGTGCCGCTTTGGCGGCAGACGGGTGTGTGGGCACTTGGCGCTGAAACACACTAACGTGGCCAACCTCGCATTTTTTCTATTGTATTGCCTATCTATACTTTTTTCGTTATGAATGGCTTGTTTTGACGATTTGTGAAGGGAATGAGAGAGAGAATGTGGGGTCTCTTAAAACAACACACCCAATCAGTTTATTTTTGTATGTCTGTCTTTTCCTTGGTGGTTTGTCTTTGACCTGATTTTTTGTGTGTACCTTTTATGTGCCCATCTGAGCACAGTCGGTCATTCCTTGTCTGGAGTGCCTACAGCACTCTTAGGGCCTCGGTTCGGGATGTCTGTGTTGCCTGTGGGTGATCATGGATGGTCGTCGGAGTTGACTCCCTGGCTCAGTGGGTGGTGGGAACCAACAGTCTGCGACGGTGTTCAATCGAGATGTGAGTACGCGATGTGTGCCGCTTTGCTCCCTGTTGGATGTGTGGACTGCCTGCCCCGTCTGCGCTCCGCCGCTGCCTTGCTGCCTTGCTTCGCATGTGGTTCTCTGCAAGTTGCTGTGTTCGCTGTGTGGTGTGGCCGGCCGTGTTGTTGGCGTTGCCTTGCGCTTCGCTGCTCCACTGCCTTGCCGCCCGTCCGCTGGTCGTGCCTTCCATGTTTGTTGCTTGCGTGCCTTGTAGTTTGGTTGCCTTGTTGGTGTTGCCTTGTGCTTTGCTGCACGGTTGTCGTCCTGCGTTCCCGCTCCTTCTGTCGTCCTTTGCAGTGTGCTTGCCTTGCTTGTGTGACCTTGTGCTTCACTACACGGTTGCTATGCGGTTCTTCTTCCGCTTGCCGTTCCGTTCCTTACAGTCGTATTTGGCATCGTGCGGCCGTGTTGCCTCTACTGCGTTGCCTGGTGCTCCACAGGGTTGCTGCCCGCTGCTATGTTCCACTTGAGGACAGTCCGCCTTCAACATCAGTCAAATCGTTCATGACCCAAAGGTCCCAAACCATCAAATACTGAGATTCCGCAGATTGTCGAGGGTTCAGCCTCCTGATGAGTCGGTGCAACTCCGACGAAACAATCTATCATCATCAGTTTCTTTTTATTTTTTTTCAGTTTTCTTGGTTTTGGTACTTGTCTTGTCCGCTGGTTGTTGTCTGCCCTCCCGCCTCCCCCGTTCCCTTCAGTCTTTGTGCCTCGCTGCACTACTCTCGACATGCACAAAAGACAAAAATCATAGCGGTGTATCTTTCCATAATCTAGCGGAAGATTCACTCTCATTTTGCACTTTTCGAGAGTAGTGCAGCGAGGCCCTTTGTGCCTTGATGACGTCGCAAGTCCCTATCCTTCAGTCACATGCGTTTGGGGTCGACTGTTGAGGTTGGTCAGATGCATCATCTTGGGCAGACTGTCAAGGTCCAACCCCCTAATGAGGTCATTTACTCACACCAGGACTTTTTGGGATGTACATGACCGTTTTATGACCCTTTGTTCAAACCGGACAAGATGCACTTGGTCACAATTACGTCCACAGAAGTTTACCCTTTTTTCAAACCGGCCATGCACCTGGTCACAATTACGTCCACAGAAGTTGAAAAAGTCCTGGAGTGAGTTCACAATTACGTCCACAGAAGTTGAAAAAGTCCTGGAGTGAGTATGCTCTGAGTCGGTCGGTCCACGTCCGACAAAATGAATCTGGATCAGTTGTGCTTTTTTAGTGGAGCTGTGTATAGTCAGCTTTAGAACACACACAGATGCGTACACATACGCACACCCTCGCGTACAGGTGCAGACTCTGCACACTCTTGTGTACAGGTTAAACCACCAGTACTTCCTAAAAACGTGCCCGTTAATGCTACGTGATTTTAGGAAACGTATGGGCCACTACAGGAGCGCCCAAATTCATCCAACTAGAAACGTTTCTACTCTATTTTTTTCCGCGGCCGATAGCTAGGCCAAGTACTGGTGGTTTAAGAGTCGACGCGCATAAACAGTTTCACACATGCATAAACAGTTTCACATGCGCAGAAACAGGTTTAGACACAGTCAGGGCATACATGAACCAGGACTATTCTGACTTAGCTCTGGACGTGATTACTGTCAGATTCATCCAGCTCTGGTCGAAATTGCGGCCAGATGCATTTTGGGAAGTGCTAGTGGGAGTATGCCCTCAGATAGGCACGATGCATTTTGGGAAGTGCTAATGGGAGTATGCCGTCAGATAGGCACACGCAAAAAGGTGTACACATACGCACACACAGGCATACACGCGCTCCGACGCGCTCACATACGACGAAGGTTGGACCCCACAGGTGCGCAGAAGGGAAGTTCCTTCCTGGGACGGAACTGGCGCGGAGGGGGGGTTTCAGACCCCACTGGCCGCGGAAAGCGGCCACAAAAATTTCGGGCGGACGTTTCCACATAGGGTCATGATGGGAAGTTCCTTCCTGGCACTCCAATTTCCGAAATATTGTGGCAAAACGACATGGTAGCCCCGAGGCTCTACCCTCTTGATTCAGCCATCCCGTGCAGAAAGGAGGCACAGGGATTGGACGGTGTGCTGAAAAAGAGGAGGCACACTTGCCTAAAAGGGCAAGTCTTCCTGATCTGGTGACCTAAACCCGCAGACGTGCGGAAATCTGCTGTGCCAGTGGTGTCCCTTTTCTCTTGCCCATTCCCGATGGCTACGATTTGTGGTGGCGGATGCCTTCCAAGCGCAAAGATACCGCGAGCCTGTGGGCTCCACAGCCCGAATACGACCCCACATGCGCTGGCTCCACGACAAGACAAATCGCGAAGGGGCCCCTCAAGTTCCTCGCAAAGGAGATGGGGGGATAAAAATTCTACAACTCTCAAAATTACAGTCACGAATCGAAACAGAAGTGCCGTTGTCGGTGGGATTGCTCACTAGAAAATTGGAAAACAGAGGTTGAGGGTCTGAGGTCTTGCGGCCCCTTTTTTCGTTTTCGGTTTCTTTTTATCGTTTGTTTTGTTGGGATAATTTGCGAAATACCCCTGTACGTTGAGATATATGCATTGAGCCTCACTGCTCGTCGCCTTGAGCACACACACTCAATGAGAGATCACGCGAAATCCACACTTGGGAGACCAGAGGTGCAAAGTCCAGATAAGCGCAGCTTAGAATTTCCAACAAATTATCATTGAAGTCCTAGAAAAGAAAAAAGAAATAAAGCAGTTACAGAGTTCCTGTCACCAGCGCTCATCAGCGCAGAGTTCAGCAACCCAACCCCAGCAGTCGCCTCATCCGAGGTAGGCGACTCTCTTCTCTCCCTGTCCCTATTTGTCTCTCGCTCGGCCTTCTTCATGCATGCCCTCACTCTCTCTCTACTCTCACTCTCCCTACTTGCTTCATCTTGACTCTGAACACATCCGCTATCTCCTGATTCTATCTCCTACCCCTAGCTATGCGGCTATGACCGCCTTCCTTCCTCAA